GGCCTTCCGTGCGTTCACTCGCTGGGTCCCTGGCTCAGCCTTCCGTGCGTTCACTCGCCGGGTCCCTGGCTCAGCCTTCCATGCGTTCATTCGCCGGGTCCCTGGCCTGGCCTTCCGTGCGTTCACTCGCCGGGTCCCTGGCCCGGCCTTCCGTGCGTTCACTCGCCGGGTCCCTGGCCCGGCCTTCCGTGCGTTCACTCGCCGGGTGCCTGGCCTGGCCTTCCGTGCGTTCACTCGCGGGTCCCTGGCCCGGCCTTCCGTGCGTTCACTCGCTGGGTGCCTGGGCATCCGCTTCACCGAGGACCTCTGCGGCAACAGTGTTGCAAACACATCCCAGCTTACAATTCATAACAATGCTGGTCTGTCTCCCGATTCTCAGTTCCTTTCCCATTTCACAGGCGTTCAGCTGTAGGTTTGTCACTGGTAGCCTTAGTGAGGTGCTTTTCTTTTGCTCCTAGTTTCTTTTTTATAAAGGGGTTTGATTTTTCTCAGAGGATTTTTCTACATCCATTGGAATGATAATGAGATTCTGGTTTGGCTTTGAGCTTGCTGATGGGATGCGTTACTTTCACTGACCGATGTGTGTAAACCACCCTTGCATGAAACCAACTCCTTTGTGGTGTAGGGTCTTTTTAATGTGTTGTTGGGTCAACATCTGCAAAAATTTTATTAAAATTGTTGCACCAATGCTCATCAGAGAGATTTATAATACTCTTCGTTGTGTCTCTGGTTTGGGGACAAATCTAGTATTTGCTTCATAGAACTGGCACAGTACTATCTATCTATTTTATGGAAGAGTTTGAAGAGCATTAGTTTAGTCCTTTAAAGGTCTGAGAATTTGGCCATGAATTCATCCGGCGCTGGCTTTTTCTTCGTTGGGAGACTCTTTGTTACTGCTCCAATCTCCTTGCTTGTTGTGGATGTGTTTAAGTGGATTACGGCAATGTGAGCTGGAATACGAGGGCCAGGTCTGCGGCAGGGCATCTGCAGACAGCTGCTTATCTCTGGCTGCACTGAGTCTGTGTGGGCGTTTGTGGGAGTGGCTGCATCTGCCTTGGCTCTCAGATCATGAGGAGGAGATGACCAATTCCACCTCCTCACAGTATTCAAGTTACCATTTGCCAGTGGCCATCTGGTCTTAGCAGACACATCCAGAGGCCATTACCGTGGGAGCCCGTGGCAGGGCCGGGCGCTGCCGCGCAGTTCTGAATGTGGTAATTGCATTTGCAGCCCTTCTTTGTGCAATGATATCATTTGCTTCCAACACAAACCCAGATTGTTTGTGTGTTAAAACTCTCTGCCTGCCAATTTTGTCAGAGAGCAGAGCCAGTGACAAGGCACACTCTGCTTTATTCTCCTCTGAGAAGGAAAACGTTGCAAGCTTTTGGCAATTGTAACTTAAATCCACCAGACAAATTTCCTAACCTTATTCCCAGCCACCTCAGCCAGGAGAGGAGAAGCAGACAGGAAAGATGCCAGGGCAGAGCTCTGTGATAGAACCCAGGGCTGCATGGGCGGAGAGCGATTTCTGACTAGCATCTAGTCCTTGCACACAAATCCAGTCCAGCCGTCTGAGGAGCTGGCCACCGGGACTCCCCAGCCCCCTCCCTGAGCTATCTTAGGTCTGTGACAAGGTCAAGGGTCTTGAGGTGTTACTCCTTCATATTTTACCACCTTAGTCCTGGCCTCAGGAATTGTGTGAATAACACAAGCCGTGACCCTAAAAAAAGATGTAGCAATGTACAAAACCACAGCTGGGAGGCCAGAGGGGGTGCTCAGCAGTCAGGCCCCGGTGAGGACCAGCCCTGGAGCGGCGGCACAGTGCCCACAGCCACAGGCCAGAGGTCAGAGGGTGTGCCTGGAGCCGGCCCTCCACCCAGGACAATTCTGCCTCTCCCGTCTAGCTCTGGCGCAAGTTTGCTCGTCTCTCCTGTAACTTTGTGGTCATCTTCATTCCCTGGGAAATGAGGATAAAGAAAATCGAGAGTAAGTATCTGGACCTGGGTGATGGGGCAGAACGCTAGTCTGTGACCGGCTCTAGCCGGACGGCTCTGTCCTGTCCTTGGGTGGGGAGGGGCACGCAGCTGGTGCTGCCCGGCTCACAGAGGACACAGAGACGGAAGTCTGTTCCGGAAGGGACCGCTCCCCAAACTGTTTATCTGATTCTGGTTGGACCCCCCCCCGCCCCCCGCCAGTCCGTTTGTGTAGTACCTGCTCCTACCATCTCCTTTCAGGTCATTTTGGATCCGGCGTGGCTTCGTATTTCATATTCTTGAGATGGTTATTTGGAATTAATGTCATGCTGACAATTATGACAGGCGCTTTTATTGTCCTCCCAGAGGTAAGAATCATCCCAGGAGGGGGGGGGGGGGAGAGACCATTCACTAACAACGAGATAGAGCTGGGTGAGGACATCCATTTTCAGGAGACTGGCAGGAAGACACGGCACACAGCCCCCTCTCCTTCAGAGGGCCGCGTGGCGTTTCAGGTGACCACAGACCCGGACAGGGCTCCCAGCTCCCCTCGAGAGCAAAAGCCGTCCGTGCGTGGAATTGGTGGAATTGGTCATCCACAACAAGCACAACAACCAGCGAGCGTGGCTGTGTTATTATAAACTACAGAAAACGCAGTTTGAATTTTATGTCATTTTTAGCTTTTCTTTTGATCTTTTACAGCCATTTAAAAATGTACACGTGATTCCTATTTTCAGATCATACACTAAAGAGAGGTGAAAAGCTGCATTTCACCTTCATTCCAAGTTTCCAGTCCTATTTAAAATAAAGCCCCTTTTGCAAATAAACTTCAGACAAGGCCATTCTCCTCCCAGGCTGTCACAGACACCAGGACCTCAGTGACCCCCGAAGCCACGCCCCTCCCAGACTGCACCCTCGGCCCTGAGCCTGAACGTGATCATCTGACCACTCAGGGCAAGGACTGAGCGGAAAGCCGCCCTGCAGATCTCCCGTGCATGGCTACTGTCCAGGCAGATGGAGGTCTTCCCCCTTGTCCTGCTGACCCCTTCCTTCTCCCGCCAGCTGATCGCAGGCCAGCCCTTTGGCAGCACGGCCAGCAAGACCATCCCCAGGGAGCAGGCTGCGTCCGCCCAGGACCTGGACACCATCTGGTCCCTGGGGGTGAGGTGGATGCCTGGACTCACTCTTGCCTGGGGTGGGGGAGGAGGGCAGCGAGGGGGAAGAGGAGGGTGAGGGGAGGGGAAGGAGGGCAGTGGGTGAGGTTGGAGTGGAGAAGGGAAGAATGGTCACCATCTGGGACTGACAGCACCACATGGGTGTCCCTCTCCCCTCTCCCCTCCCCCTCTCTCCTCTCCCTTCCCTCTCTCCCCTTCTCTCACCTCTCACTCGGGGTCTGCTCCATCGCCCGCACGCCCTCCACCTTCCTTC